TATGATAATACGATGTTTGATGCAAACTGGAAAGATAAAAAAAAACTTCAATAATGGATGTTGTCGTATATAATTCATCGATCATCAAGAAACGACAACGAATCATTTTTGACTGGATAATGAGGTGTTATTATTTATGGAAAATAAATTATATATGACAAATGACAATAATTATTTCAGCGGGTGGAAAGAGAAGCTTCAAAGCATTTCTCAGTGATCAGTTTGCGCCAGGAAAAGTTATGCAGACAAACAAGTTATGAACACGTTTGGTATCTTATCTCAATCTGATCCGCCATATATTTCTGAATGATGAAACCATTGAAACCATTACAAGGAAGAAGTATGCTTAACAAACCATAAAATGTATTGAAAATCGAAAGGCCTGCATCTGAAAACTAGTCAGTAAAATGGCTCAATTCTTCATGACAAAGGCCGATAACGTGTTCGATAATCGAAGCCTCAAAATTTGGACAAGTTAAGCTGCGAAATTTTGCCTCATCAGCCATATTTAATTTGTCTCTGGCCAAGGAAACAATAATGACGCAGAAAATGTGTTCCAAGAATGTGTTTCATTTCGAAAGCAATATCCTACATCGTCGGAACATGCTGTAAACTATCTTTTAGTTGATAAAATATGTAATTCTCACAATTCTAAACTAATAATGATTCTATATCAAGCCTAGTTATAATGATTTGAAATTCAACGTTCCGAAAGCACAACTTTAGCATTAATCTAATATTTTTTTCCGGGAATTAAACCTTCGAAAGGAAATGGTAATTTAACACAATGCTAGCCGTAACTTCAGTAGATTTACTTCTTCTGAAACGCTCAAATATACAATTGGATTAAATGTAAAGTGTTGTTGAAATGAATGAACTTTCTCCGCCTAAACAAAAATTTCGCTGTAGCAATGAAATTCCACTTTAAGCTTGAAAAAGTAGTAAAAGAACTACTGAAAAAATCAAACATATTTTCAATCTCATATTCAAATTCATAAATCCTAAATTGAATTACCTAAAAAGTGTAAATCACAGATATCATCGATGAAAAATTTTGTTTCAATCATATATCGAGAATGTAATATCTTACCTACGATTTACAATGTATTCGAAATTGTATCATTTAAGTTTAAATGTTTTTCTGCCATTTCATTGTATTACAATAATGTTGAATTATTTGTGCAAGACAAATTTTCTTTTATTATTTTCACTGTATCGCGCGCGATATTTTATATGCAAGAAATGAGAAGTATCACAATTTTATATATGAATAGTTTACGATGAAACAAAAAAGATTGTTTTGTAAACAATCGCAAAATTTTTTTGAAAAGAAAAATCACAATATGTTTTTTGCTTGGCAATGTTTCATTAATGCTCAAAAATAAATACTAAATTATTTATCGTTTCCATGAGTCAGTGTTTTGTAAGACCTGATAAATTCCTGTCTGATATTTGATATCAGTAATTGATCCGCAAAGCTTAAAATGAATGGAAATTTTAAATATCAATGTTTAAAATCGAAAATGATTAAAATTGCCTTCAGGAAAATTATTTCAAATATTAAGACTAAAAAGCCATGAATGAATAAATTACTATGGTTGAGATTTAAAATCAGGTATAAAAGTAAATGATAAGTGAGATTGAATTCAATAACAGCTTTGCGGAAACAATCAATAGATTGAAAATCCTGAAAACATAAAATAGTTTTAGTTCAGCATTTGATAGCAGCATTCCTGATAGTGATAAGAGGAATCGGTAAAAGTAATTATTCCCTCTTTCACAGATAACACCAACGAGATCAATGGATATTATAAAATATCTTTTAGCAAAATTTAGACTATTTTAAATTTGGACTATTTAATACTTAAAGTTACGAATTATTCATTTTTTAAAAATTAGCCGACAATGAAATTTATTTTTTTTAAAGAAACATTGCTTTTTAAATTTTCAGAGAGAGAGGGAGAGAGAGAGAGGGAAAAAGAGAGAGAAGCTACGTATCATCATTAGTAGCGCCGGATGTATTGCATTGTTTCTCAATAGAAGCAGCATGTCGTTTAACGATTAATCTTTGCTGCTTTTCCGGATTTACAAGAGGTACCACATTTGATAATAATTCCAATTGTTCCTGTTCTTGTGACGATTCTCGACGACGTTTTTTCCGATTGGATGTAATGATTGATACGGTATCATCACATTTACCAATCATTGCTACCAATGAAGATGATGATGATGCAGCAGTTAATTCATTTCCAGAATCAACAGTACTTTCATCTACTCCTGGACTTCTGAAACTTTTAACATTAATTGAAATAATCTAATTAATTTTTGAAAAATAATTCTTAATCAGTAAAAAAAAACTTACCGCTGAAAATTAATAACAATTAACCTTATCGATAAGGTCATTTGCTATTTCCAAAAAATAAACAATTTCAATTGACCCATTGGATCACAATTACGAGTGGATCCGCAAAACTCAAATTATCTAGTAAAATGAAGCTTGATAAATTTCAAAAAAATTTTCCTAAATAATGAAATATCCTTTAAATTAATAATAGATGAATTTACCCAGCTGAACTTTGTGGAGATTGTGATGGTTCGCTTGGATAAAATGTATCCATTACAACTAGCGAACGTTGCTTTTTAATATCTGCTTCACCTTTCTTCATTCCTTTGACATAGTTATAACCCGCATCTTTTACTACCTGTGATTGGAATGATATTGTGAAACAGAAGAATGATCAAAATGATTGATTGAAATGAGTAAATACTTTAAAATTTCGAAAAAAAATTTAATTAAAATTTCGAAAAAAATTTTAATTAAAATTTTTTGAACCTGTCGAGCAAGTGGAAATAATTCGTCACGCCTAGTTAGAAGTGCAGGTTGCCGAAGGCATAACTGTGCAGCTGCTTCATTAACTGAAACCTCATGCAAAGTTAACGGTTTATCGGGTTTACGTTTCGCATCAAAGCGACCATAAATTGCCGAATATCTCCGATATTCTTGCAAACGTTGCGGTGAACCAAACGGTAATTGCATCACATCCAATAATTCTCTTAAAAGAAAAAAATTAATTTGAAATTGATCAAAATTCATTTCTACAATATTTTCTTAATATCATAAATTATTCACAAACTTCATCTTCTATTAATTATTATAATGAATTACAGAAGAAATTGAAAAACTCGATATAACATGTTGAATGTTGAAATGAATACTTAAAAAATATTCTCATTAGTTCTGAAGAATTTAATAAATCTTTAAAAAAAAATCAAACAGTCATCGACTTTGCTTATTATAATTGCTTAATTATTGCTTAATTGATAGCTTAATCGACATTGCTTAATTAATACTAACATTCAGTATCTGTTGTCAAATTTAATCTGAATTTAAATTAAGTATATTCAGGAAAAACTGAAATTAAGTCTTTTTTTTTGATATATCTTGAATAAAATTTCGGTAAATTAAATGATTCCTTCAAAAATTTACCGACTAATTTTCTTTTTATTCTGTATTAATTTAGGTTCAAGTTGTGGCATTTGTTCGATAAGACGATGAGAACATTGAGCAAGCCTTGAAATTTGAGCTTCTGTGAGCACTGGTGTTTCTGATGTTGTGCTTGTTCCTTCAAAAATACTATAATTAATATTTTGAAATTAATTAGCATAAATTTTTCGTATTTTCTTGACATGAAAGAAGAGAAAAAAGAAGCAAATCTTCGTACCATACTTCATAGATACTTTCAATTTTTCGATAATTATTCCATTGAAGATAACGATTATCTTTGCCATAAAACTAGGACTTACCCACTCCTAACTGATCGAAATCACAAGTTGCTTCATTACTATTTGTTGGAGAACCGACAGAAAGCTGAATTAGGCTTGATGTTGTGGATGCATGTTCTGTAGATGAAGATGCCATCTTGGATGATGTTGCTGATTCCAATACTTGCATGGAATTAGATGCAACACCGCTACCACTGCTACAACTGCCACTAGATTGCGGTATACCAGCTACCAAACTTGTTAGGAAATCACCGGCCATCACATTTGCCGTAGCACCAATAGTTGTTGTGGTGGATGTTGTCCCTGAAGTTCCCACCCCAGCTACTGCTGCTACCGTTGCAGCATTGAATAATTCATGCAGCGATTCTGATGCTATAATTAATTTTTGATTAATCTTTCAAATACATCACTTTTGATCACTGCAATTTAAACAGGTGCTCATTGAATTATGTTAGTGAAAGATGAAATTGAAAGAAATTTAAATCCAATTTTTGAGAGGTTAGAATCAATAATTAAGTAGAATTTATTTCATGGATATTAAGTGCATTTGAAATCAATCACATTCGGTTAATCGAAGTTTTTTTGGCTTCGATCAGGGAAGATAAAAATTTCGAAATAATTTTCAATTACTGCCAAACGAGTTCGCAATAATTATCAAATTACGCAAATAATCTGAATAAACACCACACTGACTTGATACCAATGGCTGTAAGAGTGACCGCGGCGAGCTTTGATCGTGCTGGAAAAATTTTTTAAAAATTAATCAGTAGTCATACGATTGAAAGATGGATGAAATATATATTCTGCTTATTTTTTCTTAATTTAAAATGTTGACAGAAAATTGGTACTTCACGATATTTTATTATTATTATTATTATTATTATTATTATTATTATTACTATTATTATTATTATTATTATTATTAGTCTTATTTAACAATCGACTTTTTAATAAGCACTTTTAAAAAAATTGAAAATTTACAGTAATGGACGGACTAGTGCATGGCAAACAAGCAGCAACAGCTAAACTTGCAGCAGCAAGATTTTGTGATGATAAGAGAAATTGTAAAGCGGCAGTTGGAGTAGCTGATGATGTTGGTGGGATGTATCCATAGCTTGCAGCTGGTGGCAAACCGATTTGCTGGATGGCAACCAGATTGAAAGCATCCGGATCTTTACTGAATTCCTCAAATTAACACTGACATTCTATTATAGTATTCCAAAAAAATTTACGTATCAGTTATAGTAAAAAGTCTAATTACATAAACTCTTGCATATTTAGAAATCTTAATAATATAATCTTCAGTTTAAAATTATTTAGCTGATAGTAAACAAAGTGGTTGTGGTGAATGTGAAGAATCATTTTCATATACCGCCATCAAGAGAAGTATGATTGAAATTGTACTGAAAATAATTATTACAGGAAATACTGACAGTGAGCGTTCGTTGAAACCGTCGAACGTGAAGCGGCTTTGAGGCCATTCCGACCACTGACATTATTTCCAGGAATTCATGTTCGTCGCATGTCATAAACTGATTGATATCATCTCCGCCTAAAAACTGAAAATCGATTATCGTATAACGATAAAATCAAATAACTTAAAAGCTGCAAATACCTAAAGAGCTAGAATTGATGAATAATTATAATGTTAGAGTGAAATATCAATTAAAATGATCTCTTCTATAAGCCAAGAATTCAGCGACAAACGATGCATCTAATATAAATGTAAAAATCCAATTAAATTTTCTAAAACAAAAATCCGCATTGCTTCTTCTAACTTCTAAAGATGACTTCATAATAATAAATATTGTAATTGTGAGAACTTTATCCTAAAAGGCAAGATATCTTGGGAGATCTCGGGAGAAAGGAATCGAATTAAATTTGCTTATATTTTATGCCTTCATATTTTGCGCTAAATTTTTACAATACTGATAATAACTATGCATGGAATTAACTTTAGGCTACCATAATTCATGAAGTATTTGTATCATATTTTTCAACATTTTATCTATTCTATTTTTACTAATAAATAGTATTATCCGACAAGAAAAAAAATATTCCAATGTAACGTAGTAATGTTCTGAAACAAAACATTAGTCTTACCATCTACACTCCTCTGAACCACTACCTCAACGAATAGTCCCAAATTATTCTCCCGAATCAACAGTAAAGAAGAACGACCGAATGACCAATCAGTTCTAAGCCTGAGTGATTTGTGAGTATATATGTAATAAATCTAAAAATACATAAACTTACCAAAAGTCATACATATCCAAAGTTGGAATTTTAAAAAAAAATATATATCCGCTATATGTGATAATTATTATATTTTTTCAAAATAAATTTAATTGATTCATAGGAATATCGGATATTAATGCTCTCTCAATGTATGACACGACAAACTATCTCATTATCACCATTTTTGTGCAACAATTTTCAACGATAGAAGAAAATAAAAAAAACGATATTATTCATGTAAATATGACAATTAATTTTATTTGAAAAAGAATGATATAAAGAAATATGCCTATATCCTATTACAACCTAAAATACATATTTGAAATTATCTAAAATCAATGTAAATCTTACTAATAATAAATATGTAGGTATTGCAATTGTGAATGAGTAAATGTTGTCAGTCCTATTTGATTGAAAAAAAAAATTAAAGCCTTAATTTTTTTCTAATATCTTTTAGTTTCTCTGTATTGATGAAAGAAAGAAGGAAAGAATTAGAAGAGTAGGAATAGATTGAATTCGAATAATGATAATAGTGAACGGTAAATGAAACGGAATACGAAAATATGAACTTTGAAAAAAATTTGCTAAGAAACTATGTAAATTCTTCAACCTTGAGCAATAAATTCGTCGTAATACTGCAATAAATTGGCCCGATGAAGTACAGCAAGTAGTTGCCATTCCGAAAAAGTTGTTGGTTGCCTGCTACCTGACCTAAAATTTAACAATCAATTATAAAAAAGATCGAAGTGTGTAAGACGTATGGAATGATGATATATTTTAACCTTTTGTAATATTTGACCTTATTGATTACTATATTTTAATACTTTTATTATTCATTGCATTTTTGTTAACAATTTTACATTTCGTTTTTGCAATTTTTATATTTATGATGCAATCAAAAATCCAATAAAATTCTTAAACATTCGGAAAAAAAGAGAAAGAATTTTTTTTTTCTCTCTCTCTCTCTCTCTCTCTTTAAAACTTGTTTAATTTCTCTAACTTTCTAAAAAATAATCTATCAGGTAGTTGTAAAGAAAGATTTGAAAAAAATTTTCATCATTCCTCACAGCAAATCAATCAATATATATATATATGATGATATTATTAAGATTGAAAGTTGAAAGAAATTTTGTAAGACAGATAATTTTCTCTTTAACTTTACCTTTTCTCTTTTTCTTTCTTTTTTTCTTTTTCATTTCATCAATTATATTATGATTTTTAGTATTAAATTTTTCATGATACTATATAATGTTGAAAAAATGTTGAAAAAATGTTGAAAAAAAGAACGACAAATTAAGATAACCGTGGCTGTTGCCGTGGTGGTGCGATAATCGATGAAGACGGGCTTGGTGTATTTGGTAGCTCAGAAATTTTGTCGTCTAGTTGCGGAAGTTCACCCTGGGTCTTCGTCGCCAGATCCAGGTCTTCCAATTTGTTTTTCCAAGAAAAACACCGTCTTCCAAATTTGAATGAATTTATAGAGGGTACTCTTCAGCAGAATTAAAAAATTACAAAGAGAGAGAGAGAAAGAGAGAGAGAGAGAGAGAGAGAGGGAGATATAGGGAATAATTCGACAAAGTAGGAAAAAAAATTTGTTTTTCACTGATGCAGAAATTTCATATGTAATATATAAAATAAATATATGTAATCACAGGAATTTATTTTTATACTGCAAACAGATGGATTTTCTTTTCTTTTTAAGCTTTTTCAGATTTCACTTAAATTATTAGCAATAAAATAAATATTTTTCGTTGAAAGAAAATGTAGCCTAATGACTACTATAGAGGAAAGGTAAATCTTTCAAATTTTGATTCCAATCAATTTTTTTTTTTAATATAATGATAAGAATAACACTGTATAGTGATAATAATAATGATAATAACAGTAATAATAAGTTAAGAGATCAGCTCTGGTGTTTGATTGACCCTGATAATAATTGTTATGCTTGTGCTTTGCACACAAATAATGCATTCGATGCTAATTATATTGAATATAATAGTAGTAGTAGTAGTAATAGTAATATATTGGAATACAGATAGACAAGATCAGTTTACAACGTTAAACGAATCTTCTTCAAAGCTGTTGCTGATCTAAAACCCCCGGTGAACACTATTTGATAGCGTCCGGGGTTAATTTGGTTACATAAAAACCTGCAAGAAAAAAATTAAAGTTAACACAACAATAAAGAAAAAGATAATCTGAAAATATATATAATTTAAATCGGAAATTGCTGAATACATATGATTTCAATTGGAAATTGTTGAACATATATATATATATAATTTAAATCGGAAATTCTTGAATATGTATAATCTAATTTGGAAATTGTAGAATATATATGATTTTAAATTGGAAATTGTTGAACATACATATAATCTAAATTGGAAATTGTTGAATATATACATATATAATTTAAATTGGAAATTGTTGAATATATTTAATCTAATTTGGAAATTATTGAATATATATAATCTAAATTGGAAATCGTTGAATATATATAATGTAAATTGAAAATTGTTGAATATATATAATCTAAATTGGAAATCGTTGAATATATATATATAATTTAAATTGGAAATTGCTGAATATATATATATATATATAATTTAAATTGGAAATTGTTGGAATTTCTTTTCCCATCAAATATATCAAAATATTTTTACATCAAAGAGAGAAACGATATTTTTCAACAAAACTAAAAAAAGAAGAAAACAACGAAGAAGCAAAAAATTAAGAGAATTTCATATTTTTTTTGCTACTTTCAATTAACATTCTTGCCGTCTACTTTTACCTTTTTTGAAGAGAGAGAGAGAGAGAGAGAGAGAGAGAAAGAGAGAGAAAGAGGGAGAGAGAGAGAGAGAGTAATAAGAAAAATAAGAAAAAGAGAGAGTAATAGAGAGAGTAAAAGAGAGAGAGTAATAAGAAAAATTAAGTTGTATAAATCATTTTGTTGTTGAAAAAAAACGAGAGAGAGAGAGAGAAAAAAAAGGAAAAACGAAATTGAAAAGTATCATTCTTATTCAATTTTTGATAATAACACATTGTGTCGGTTTGATTTGGTTTAGTTGGTTGGTTGGTTGGTTGGTTTAGTTGGTTGGTTGGTTGGTTGGTTTAGTTGGTTGGTTGGTTGGTTGGTTGGTTGGTTGGTTGGCTATCTACAACAACCAACTCTTAAAAATATTTCAAACAACAAAAATGCAGTAAGAAGAGAGAAAATGATCGGAAGAAGTTAACAACTTTTCTTCCTTCTTTTTTTGTTGTTGTTGTTTGAAATTTTTCTTTGAAAACTATTCTAGCACAAGAAAAGTTAAAAGGAGAATTTTAAATTTCCAATGTTCTAATTAGAAACTTCTACAAATTAGCCTTTTCTTCATTTTTCAAATGATCCATTTTAATTAGGAAAAAAAAAAGTGTATTGTTTTTTGTTTTTGTTAGTGAATTTTTTGAAATTATATTTTAATTTCTAATTAGTAAAAAAACAAAAGTTCTTGTAATAATTAACAGAAAATTATTAAAATTTAATTTAAATGAAATAAACAAAAGACAATATCCCTTTATTAGTAACAAAAAATGAAAACGAACGAATTTCTTTCTTCTTTTGTTTTTTTCCATTTTTACAAATTTCTAATTAGTAAAAAAACAAAAGTTCTTTTAATAATTAACAGAAAATTATTAAAATTTAATTTAAATGAAATAAACAAAAGACAATATCCCTTTATTAGTAACAAAAAACGAAAACGAATGAATTTCAAAACTTTTACAAATTTCTAATTAGTAAAAAAAAAAAACAAAAAGTTCTTTTAATAATCAACCAGAAAATTATTAAAAATTAATTTAGATGAATTAAACAAAAAGACAATATCCCTTTATTAATAACAAAAAATGAAAACGAATTAATTTCTTTCTTTCTTTCTTATTTTTAAAAACTTTTACAAATTTCTAATTAGTAAAAAAAAAAACAAAACAAAAACAAAACAAAACAAAAAATTCTTTTAATAATTAATAAAATTTAATTTAAATGAAATAAAACAAAAGAAAATTGCTTCGAAAGAAATTATTATTGTATAAATGAACATGTATAAATGTTAAAAAAAAAAGGAAATAAATAAAGACAATTTTTCAATTTAACTGGAAAAATCAACAAACTACTTTTGCTCATATACGAATTAATAAGGGAAAAAGAAATAGAATGAAAGAAAGAAAGAGAGAGAGAGAGAGAGAACAAAGTATCATCATCATCATTATCATCATCTGGTAATTAGCACTTGAAATGGAAGATGGAAAAAAAATAAATTTTGAAATGAATAAGGTAAGTCAGTTGTCACCCCGTATAGATGATCATCATCATCACCGTTCATTCCATCTCATACTAATTCTTTTCTGTCTATTTTAATTCTTACCAAAGTTTTTCATCGAAACATACATACATACACACACACACACACACACACTCTGAAATTGATAATAATGAAAAAGAAAGAAAAAGAATGGACCGGTGATAATTGATGTAAGAAAAGAATCTATCGGTGATAAGAAAGCTTAAAAAAAAAAAAAAAAGAAAGAAAATGATTTCAGTGGATGATAATAATGATTTTTTACGAAAATTATTGACACCTTTATAAATTAGGGGAAAAACAAAACCTATACGATACGTATAGTAATCGTTGAATTAATCTTATCATTTATCAGAAGAAGATAATTTTAAAAATGATTTATTTAAGTATAAAGTAGTAATAATTTTAAAGATGTGGTTTATTTCTTTTTCTTTTCTGTTTGCCTTTTCATTCATTATCATTAAATATCATGAAACTATTTTTATCACTAAGTGAATAAAAACTTATTGACAGGTAATTGATGTTCTTCCCTCATTTCACATTCCATCATGATATCCTGTATGTATTTTCACACAGATACTATCAGTGATTTTATTGTTGTAATCAATAATATCAAAGAAAAAAAAGGAAATAAAATATTTTAATTACTTATTTAAGTATTTGCTAAAATTTAATAATATCGTTTAATTATATATAATATTGATAATACTATGATAATATTATTCGTAATATTCTTAAATTTTTAATTTAAAATTCGTAAATTAGAAATGTTTATTATCTTTTTTTAATTATATTCAAAGAGAAAAATTAGAATTCATATTAATACATTTCTCTTTTTAAATTTTGTAATTGAATTTATTTTAATTAAATCTGTCAAAAATTTTTGTAACAAATTCACTAAATTCTTTTCAAACGATTTTAATTAGGCAATAATGAAAAATGGATAAAACAATCAAAAAAACTATTACTAATACTTACGTAGGAAAATGTTAAATTATGTTAGAAATTAAATTAACAAATATTTCCTTTTTAAAATATAACTTTTGTTTAATTTCTTTAAACTGTCATAACAATTATTTTATCATATTATCATTTTTATTCTACAATGATAATATTATTTCATTCTTTGTTTAATTAATTATTCGATCTTCTGAAATGAAAATATAAAATAAAAGCGGGGGAAAAAAATATATATATATTAAGCCTACGAAAAATTAAGCCTACGAAAAAAATTAGGAATTTTCAATATCATCGAAATTTTGAAGCGCTAATTTTTTGCTACACATATGAAAATACCGGACGGAATAAGAATATAACAATAAGTGCCAGCCATCATATGTTATAACGAGAGGATTTGTAATATCCGGAATGCTAACAGATAAAAAAAGCTATAAGGCCTATTCTTCTGGCTATTCATGATGATTATCCCATTCTTTAGGCATTTTCAAAGAAAACGAAATTGTCGATAATGATGAAAATAAAAAGCTATTAACCTTTTTTTTCCCTCTCTTTCTCTCTCTCTCTCTCTCTTCATTTCTCTGAGAGAGAAATTTTTCAGTTAAAAAATTTTTAGTGAAAATCTTTTCCTCTTTCTTTCTTCTTCAATCTCTTTCTCTTATCCACCAATACAATCTTCAACGAATAAAAATGTTCTCTTCCACTTTTTTTCTTTCACTTTCTATCTTTTTTTCTTATTCTCAATAATAAAAACCAGTTATTTTGAAGTGAATTTAATTCTACTATTTTCCCAAAATAGCAACTAAAATCATTTCTACAAATCA